CATGTTGACCAGGATGGTCTCGATCTCCTGACCTCGTGATCCACCCGCCTCGGCCTCCCAAAGTGCTGGGATTACAGGCTTGAGCCACCGCGCCCAGCCTCTCAATGGCTTTTAATATTTAACTTAACCACTCAGTCAAGTTAAGTTTGACCTGGAAGCCCCCTCCCTGCTTCAAGTTTTCCCCACCTTTCTGGATGGAACCAATGTACTTCTTGCTTATATTAATTAATGTTTCATGCCTCCCTAAATGTAAAAATCCAAGCTGTGCGCTGACCACCTTGGGCTCATGTCATTAGGATTTCCTGAGGTTGTGTCATGGGTTGGCATCCTTACCCTTGGCAAAATAAATTTTCTAAATTAACTGAGACCTGTCTCAAATTTTGGGGGTTCGCACTACTTTTATCACTCATATTCAACATAGTACTAGCACTTGTAGTCAGTGCAATAAGGAAAGAAGAAAAAAAAGACATACAGGTTGCAAAGGAAGAAATAAAACTGTCGGCCAGGGCTGGTGGCTCACGCCTATAACCCCAGAACTTTGGGAGACTGAGGTGGGCAGATCACGAGGTCAGGAGATCCAGGCCATCCTAGCCAACATGGTGAAACCCTGTGTCTACTAAAAATTCAAAAATTAGCCGGGCATGGTGGTGCACACCTGTAATCTCAGCTACCCAGGAGGCTGAGGCATGAGAATCACGGGAGCTTGGGAGACAGAGGTTGCAGTGTGAGTTGAGATTGCACCACTGCACTCCAACCTGGGCGACAGAGAGAGATTCTGTGTGTATTTATATACATTATATATAATATTATATATATAATAAGTTTCTAACAATGAGAGAAAAGAGCAAGAAGCAAAATCATATACACTATATACTTCTATTTGAAGCTTTTCATATCAATATATTTGGAGCTGCTTCAATAGGGATTGAATTAAATAAAATATGGTCTAGTCACACAGTGCAATTCTATACAGCTATTGTATAAAGGTATGCCAATTTATTTAATTCTATCTCTATTGATGACATTTACTTTGTTTCTAGTAATTTGCCATTATAAACACTGTTGCCACAATCACTGCACGGGAGTCTGCAGGTAGATGTTAGTCTCTCGTAGGATAAATGCCTAGAAGTGGAATTGCTGGGTCAAATGGTACATGCTTTTATAATTTAGACAAATATTGCCAAATAACCCTTTGCAGATGTCTAAAGAGTCATTTGACAAAAAATAGACCCTTTCTATAAATTTGTGCAATCACAAATATTGCAAAATTCATGTAAGTACAAAGAATTGTGTACCTACCACCCAAGTTTATTAAAATAATGTCCACACTTTAGTTCTGACTCTTTTTGAAAGATCCCAGGTTTTGTATTCATCGAGATCTGAATAGTTGAGGAAATGAGGATTTTTTTTTTTTTTTTTTTTGAGACAGAGTTTTGCTCTCATCGCCCAGGCTGGAGTGCAATGGCACGATCTTGGCTCACTGCAACCTCCACCTCCTGGATTCAAGCAATTCTCCTGCCTCAGCCTCCCGAGAAGCTGGGATTACAGGCATGCGCCACCACATCTGGCTAACTTTTGTATTTTTAGTAAAGACAGGGTTTCTCAATGTTGGTCAGGCTGGTCTTGAACTCCTGACCTCGTGATCTACCTGCTTGGCCTCCCAAAGTGCTGGAATTACAGATGTGAGCCACCACGCCCGGTCAGAAATGAGGATATTTTTATGGATGAAAACAATAGCCAAGTAAGCACTTAGAAGCCACCCACCCCTTAGGTAACTTTCCACGTTCCGGAGTAGCAGCCTTCAGGCCGAGGGTAATTATTTCCTGAAATACGCTTGAACACTTTCTAAGGGAATAAAAGCATGGATGATTTTAAGGAAAGAAAGTTCCACATCTCCCTCTTCTAGCTGGACTCTTTCCTAAAGCCAAGGGCCTGAAAATGTATGTGTGCCCTGTTTGCTGATCTCCCAGAAGAAATGCACTACTCACCACCATCTGCAATGATTCACTGGCACCTACTTCTCTTCTTTAATAATTTCTACCAGGTATCATTATATTTAGGTTAACTTTAGGGGAATATGTAATGAATTCTCCTGTAAATGCACATAATAGCAATCATTGATACATGAAATCTAGTAATACCCTAAACTTGAGAAAACAGCTTCATTTTATTGGGATTAACTCCTCTTTCTTAGATGTGAATATTCTGTCAAATGCATATTTGTAAACAACTGATTTCAACTATGAGATTAATCTGTGACTAAATCTATATATAATAGTTCACAGTCATTTATCTCTGTTATGAATACTCAGGTTTTGGATCATAGCCAGTGTGAAAATCCTAAACTATAATCCTCTTTTTTTTTTCTAGACAGAATCTCTCTTTCGGGTGGATCACGAGGTCAAGAAATCAAGACCATACTGGTCAATATGGTGAAACTCCGTCTCTACTAAAAATACAAAAATTTCGCTGGGCGTGGTGGCGCGTGTCTGTAATCCCAGCTACTCAGGAGGCTGAGGCAGGAGAATTGCCTGAACCCAGGAGGCGGAGGTTGCGGTGAGCCGAGATCGCGCCATTGCACTCCAGCCTGGGTAACAACAGCGAAACTCCGTCTCAAAAAAAAACAACCAAAACCAGAAACAAAACACCTTGGTTTCACTTAAAAAATTTTGTTTTCAATTCATCTATGGACTCTCTGATACCTACAACTTAAGTGTCTAGTGCCTTTGGGGAAGTTACTTCCGTTTTTTTTTTGACAGAATCTTGCTCTGTTGCCCAGGTTGGAGTGCAGTAGTGTGATCTTGGCTCACTGCAACTTCCACCTCCTGGGTTCAAGGGATTCTACCGCCTCAGTCTGCTGAGTAGCTGGAATTATAGGCTCATGCCACACAGCTAATTTTTATATTTTTAGTAAAGTTGGGGTTTCACCATTTTGGCCAGGCTGGTCTTGAACTCCTGGTCTCAAGTGATCCACCCACCTTGGCCGCCCAAAGTGCTGGGATTACAGGCTTGAGCCCTCCGTCCTGGCCTCTAGTGTTATTTCTTAAACTCTCTGAACCTTGTTTTTTTTTTTAAAGATGGGGTTTCACCATGATGGCCAGGCTGGTCTTGAACTCCTGTCCTGACCTCAGGTGATCCACCCACTCGGCCTCCCAAAGTGCTAGGATTATATGCGTGAGCCACCGCGCCCGGCCTGAACCTTGGTTTTTAAAAATCCTCTAAATGAGGATAATAGTTCATAATTCCTAACTTTTGTCATGAAAATTAAGAGTTAATATATGTTATGTGGGAGAAATGTAAATTCTAGTTCAAGAAATAAAAGAAATAATGTAAAACTTCTGATTTACTTATCTGGCAATAAATACAAGGACATTTTTGTTTGGTGGTGGATAGTAAAAGGCTAAGGTATTCATATTCCACTGGAAACATTTGAAAGAGTGATTAACAGTTTTATTTCAAAATGTCAACACTGAGAACACACTAGGATTTACATCTTTTTCAACTAATTATGATGAAAACTTTTGTCAGTGAAATGTGTTATGATTGTTTTATACAAATCTTTTATGTCGATGAGCAAGTATCTTAGAAGACCACTGCTGAGGAGAAATGTTATTTATCCAGAGACTCGCCTTAATTAGGAGACCCTACAGAGCGCCCGGTAGAAATATAATAAAGGCATTTCACTTATTCCCTTGCACAGCCCTGTCGTGAAAATAATTGAATGAAATGAACCACGCTCCGAGTTCTCGCCCTGACGCAGCCTGTAGTAGCCACGTTCCACCCCTAGGTGGCACACGCCAAAAACTCCGGGGGGCGGGCCGCCAGAGCACGCCACTCGGTAGCCCTGTGGTATCTCTCGGCTTCCGTTGAGCACCGAGCAAGATGGCAGCCTCCGAGACGGTTAGGCTGCGGCTTCAATTTGATTACCCGCCGCCAGCTACCCCGCACTGTACAGCCTTCTGGCTTCTCGTCGACTTGAACAGATGCCGAGTCGTCACAGATCTCATTAGTCTCATCCGCCAGCGTTTCGGCTTCAGTTCTGGTGCCCTACTAGGCCTCTACCTGGAGGGTGGGCTCCTGCCCCCTGCCGAGAGCGCGCGCCTAGTGAGAGACAACGACTGCCTCAGGTGGGCGGTGCGGGGAGCGGGACGGCCGGGTGGGCGGTGGGCGGGGGACGCGCCTGCGCACGCCTGGGCCTGAGACCGCTAGGCCTGGATGGGGAGGGGGTGAGGGATAGGAAGGGGGACTAGGGGTGGGGGGGGGGACTGCAAAAATGCACGTTCGCGAACTCCGGAGATCCTGATTGGTGTAGTCAACTTTGGGACTCAGAAATCTGCATTTTATTATTATTTTATTTTATTTATTTAATTTTTGAGACGGAGTTTCTCTTGTTGCCCAGGCTGGAGTGCAGTGGGGCAACCTCGGCTCACCGCAATCTCCACCTCTAGCGATTCTTCTGCCTCAGCCTCCCGGGATTACAGACAGGCGCCACCACGCCCGGCTAATTCTGTATTTTTAGTAGAGATGGGGTTTCTCCGTGTTGGTCAGGCTGTTCTCGAACTCCCGACCTCAGGTGATCCGCCCGCCTCGGCCTCCCAAAGTGCTGGGACTACAGGCATGAGCCACTGCGGCCAGCCTTTTATTTTTGAGACTGAGTCTCACTCAGTCACCCAGGCTGGAGTGCAGTGCTGCAATCTCGGCTCATTGCAACCTTCACCTCCCGGATTCAATCGATTTTCCTACCTCAGTCTCCCGAGTAGCTGTCATTAAAGGTGGGTGCCACCATGCCCAGCTAACTTTTTTTTTTTTTTTTTTTTTTTTTTTTTTGTATTTTTAGTAGAGGTGGATTTCACCACGTTGGCCGGGCTGGTCTTGAACTACTGACCTCAAGTGATCCTCCTGCCTCAGCCTCCTAAAGTGTTGGGATCACAGGGGTGAGCCACCGTCTGGCCAGAATCTGCATTTTAACAAGCATCCTTCCCGGGTTGCTTCTGATGACAGGAGGCTCAAACTTGGAAAAACCCTGATGCCTAAGGGCAGGGCCAGGGTTTCTTTCAGCCTTGATTTAGGACATCGGCGCTTAGCAAGGCACTGTTTTCCGTGCCCATGGTGCAGGTGTGCGGGAGACTCAGCCTTACCCTTGGCGGTGTTCAGGGTCAGGTGCAGGAGACCCAAGCTGACAGAGGGAATTGTCGCATTTTCTTCAACATGCTGTTGTCCAACCTTAGTTCTCATGTGCCTGGGTTCACTCAAACAGGTGTCTGCGTCCTTTTAGGCTTTGAATGGGGAAACACAAAATAATCTGAAATAATTTTGGAAATTAAAATGATAATAAGTTGAGTTTCCAGGAGCAATTGTAGTATGAATTGCCAAAATGTGGTTCAGTTGCCATGGTAAGATGATGAGATCCTATCATTCCAGTTTGGATTCATATCTTAGACCCATTTATTCAGGCTTTTTTTTTTTCTTTTTTAAATAAAGAGACTGGGTTTCCCATGCCCAGGCTGGAGTGCAGTGGTGCAATCATACCCTGCTGTAGCCTCCACCTCCTGGGCTTAGGCAATCCTCCTGCCTCAGCCTCCTGAGTAGTTGGGACTTCAGGCCATGCAACCAGGCATGGATAACTTCTGTATTTTTTGTAGAGACAGAGTTTCACCTTGTTGCCCAGGCTGGTTGAACTTGCGGTCAAGCTGTCCTCTTGCCTCAGCCTCCCAAAGTACTGGGATTACAGGCGTGGGCCACTGCGCCAGCCTTCCTTCTACCCACCCCCTTTAAGCTTCAGCTACAGTGAACCAATTCCAGAGTTGTGAACAGGCTATTTTCTCTTGCTGCCCTTTGTTACTGAATATTCCTTACCCTCGAGCATGTCGGATTCCATAAGATTTCTTCAGAACGTCAGGGAATTTAATTTGGAACAATAACTGCCTCAAATCAGGATGTTATGATTTAATAATGTTCAACTGTTTCAAACGACAATTTGAAATAATCCAAATTTCAGAGCTTTTTTTTTTTTTTTTTCCTTTTTATTGACTGTGAAATAGGTCTCTATTCTCTCTGCAGTTCAAGGACTATTTAAATACTACAATTGTAAGGATTGTGTCCTATCCTATTAAGTGTATTTTTTGAACTGTCCCTTGCCTAATGAGTTAATAACTTGTGCTAGCTAACTATAATTATACTTTAATGAATCATCTGGGCATTACATTCTTCATACTGAAGTTAACAATGACAAAAAAATGAAAACTGTTATAAGTAATAATACAACATGATGACAGGCAGATTCTTCCTAAATGCTTCAAATGCACAGCTGCTTGTGGTAAAAAAGACCTCTGCAGTGGCTTCAGTGGCAAATGGGCAGTCCGTAGAAAAAGATGAATCTGGAAAATTCATCTTTGTTTTTGTTGTTTCATGCCCACAATCATTGTCTTTCCCTGACAAGTTCACTTTTCTTCAGAGCTACAGAAGAAAACATAGTCTCTGTTCTCAAAATACCTAATATTGTTGCACTGGAACCCAAATAATGAATTTCATGCTTCTGTATATTACCTTCTGTGACACAGGCAATTAGACTGACTAGTTAGACCAGGTTATACTCCTAAGTGCAGAAGTCGGTTGAGAAAGCAGACATCAGCATGGAACAAAATGGTTGGGGAATTGAGCAGTACCTTGAAGAACGGGTGGGAAAGGTTGGTTGATCAAAGCACAGCTATAGAGACAAAAGCTGGACGGACTTGGTAAAGAGATGAGTCTGACCAGCTAAAGCATTCTGTTGGGATCACTGGCGGTACTGAGAAGTGTAATGAGGAAAAGTGGAACCAGGTTGTGGGAATCCTGAGAAACAGCCTTTGAGGCTTTAGATGCATCACACACTTGTATTCCACTGCTGTTTCCCCATAGCCCATTCTCTTAGCCCCAGGAATGTGGCTTCATCGGCCCCCAGATTTCTGACAGTGAGTTCCTAAAGGTGGTCTCTAACTCTCTGGGAGGAGGAGGAGGTGCTCCTGTTGGTTTGGAGCCCCCTGTGTAAGTTTGCCAGGGCTGCTGTAACAAAATACCACAGACTGGGTGGCTTAAAAAAATGGAAATTTATTTCTTACTCTTTTGGAGACTAGAAGTCCAAGATCAGGTGTTGGCAGATTTGTTTTTTTATTTTTAATTAATTAATTTTTCTAGAGACAGAGTCTCACTCTGTTGCCCAGGCAGGAGTGCCATGGCACAATCTTGGCTCACTGCAACCTCAGCCTCCCGGGTTCAAGCGATTCTCCTGCCTCAGCCTCCCACGTAGCTGGGATTACAGGCACCTGCCACCAGGGCCAGTTAGTTTTTTTGTATTTTTAGTAGAGATGGGTTTCACCATGTTGGCCAGGCTGGTCTCCACCTTGTGGCCTCAAGTGATCCACCCACCTTAGCCTCCCAAAGTGCTGGAATTACAGGGGTGAGCTATTGTGTCTGGCGGTTTTTAATTCTTTTTAACTAAAAAAAAATTTTTTTGCATTGTGCAGCCCTCAGAATTAAAGCAGATTCAGAGAGACTCCCTGGTTTGTTTTTTGAGACAGGGTCATCTCACTCCATTGCCCAGGCTGGCATGCAGTGGGCAGCCTTGGCTCACTACAGCCTGGAACTCCTGAGCTCGAGTACTCCTCCTGCCTCAGCCTTCTGAGTAGCTAGGACTACAGGTGTAGTTTTTTATTTTTCATAGAGAGGTCTCACTAAGTTGCCCAGCCTTTTGGGCTCAAGCAGTCTCCCTGCCTTTGTCTCCCAAAGTGTTGGGATTACAGGCATGAGCCAGTGCACCTGGCCTGAGAACTCCCTTTTGTAGAGTCGTTCTGTAAGGAAACAAAGCACGTTCTCTCCTCCCTGACTCTTTTTTTTTTT